TTTGAACTCTCTCTCTCTCTTTTTTTTTTTTTTAAAGATATATTTTTGAGAGAGAGAGAGGAGAGAGAGAAAGAATTTTATTTATTTTTTTGTTTTTCAGAGGACACAACATCTTTGTTTGTATGTGGTGCTGAGGATCGAACCCAGGCCGCACACATGCCAGGTGAGCGCACTACCACTTGAGCCACATCCCCAGCCCTAGCTTTGAACTCTTGATCCTCCTGCATCAGCATCCAGAGCTGCTGGGATTACAGGCGTGCACCACTGTGCCTGATTCTCCTTTCCCTTTCTGAATTAACCTATCAAAACTAAGGGAGAAGGTGACATGCTTTTTCTGAAAGACTAGTTAGAGATATATAATGTATCAATGATAAGAGATTGTCACTATCTATCCTAGCTGGTGACCTAATGCTGGGTTCACAAAATCTGACTATTCCAGTAACTCAAGAAAATGACAAAGAAAGCATGCAACCACACAGAAATATCTTTTCTGTAATCCGGAGATGGCTCTTCGACCTTAAGTGTCCTTGGAAAGAGAGAGAGCCACTGGAATTCTTTATTCTCATATAGGTAACACACAAGGGGAGTTTCCATGGAACATTCTATCCCAAAAAGGGCAAAGGGGTCAGGTTTCAGGGAGTTGAGTCTAGCTTCTTGACGTCTGCTATCAGCAGATTGGCTGACATCTAGGAAGGCCATGCCCATCTCATGAGCTGTGTGGGCATCATAGGCAGAGCCAGCAAAAAGACCAGAGTGAGGACTGCCCAAACAGAGAGGTAATGTCGGTTCAGTCCACTTTGTGCTCTCACTGCTCATAGTTCACACACACACAGCCCATGGCTGGCTTGTGACATCTCCACATTCTCATCACTCAGGGCTAAGGGATGCTCAGTTCCTATGTGGCAGCCCYGACAAGAGATCTTTCCTAGAGCATTTATTTGCACATTAAAGGGAAACAAGTCAAAGGCAATGACCCCTAAAAGTGGAGTTTGATGCATCGAAGAGCACACATAGAGGAGGATTGAGTTTAGTTCACTTTTGTTCCTAAACACTAGTGAGTGAACAGGAGGTGGGTTGGGCTAGGTCCGAGAGCTCATTACTCAAAGATTCCTGGGAATCACCCCTGGAGGTTCAAATTCACTATATCTGGGAGGTGGCCTGGGAATCCATACCTTTAAGGTCTGGGATTCCATATTTTTAACAAGTTCACCAAGTGATTCTGATTAGCCAGGTTTGGGAATTATTAGTTTTTCAGTGCTAGGAATCAAACCCCAGGCTTTAGGCATGCTAGGCAAGCAATCTATCATTGAGCTACTTTCCCAACTCCAGGTTTAGGAGCAGTCAGAAGTTTGCCATGGTAAGTTCTTCCTTGAAGCAAAATTTTAGTGATGGGAGGCTGGTAAAATAGAGGCCCTGTGCCCTGTGATGAAAGACTGGTGAGATCTGGAGGATTTGGAGAAGTCCCATACCCTGATGGTATAGAACTGGGGCTGTGTGGTCCAGATCCCACTGAAACCATGTACTGAGCCAGTCACTAGCAAGGTATGCTGACTGAAGTAGCCAAAGAGCCCAGGCAAAGGCCAAAGAAGGCCAGAATCTCTGCCCCATATCCTGCAAATATCAGAGCACAGAAAATTAAATGGCCATCTAATGTTGAGCTACCTTGATCAGAATTCCATGGAAGACAATATGGTCCACACTGAGCAAAGATAAAACTAGTTGACATGTGGGGGCTGAGGTTGTGGCTCAGTGGTAGAATGTTGGTCTAGCATGTGTGAGGTCCTGGATTTGATCCTCAGTACCACATAAAAATAAATAAATAAAATAAATGTATTGTGTCCAACTACAACATATACATATATATATATATATATATATATCCATATATATATATCCATATATATATATCCATATATATAACCGTATATATAAATGTATATATAAATATATATATAACCATATAAATATATATATAAATATAAAAATATATTTATACATAAATTTATATTTATGTATAAATATCTTTATATTTATACATAAATATAAAGATATTGTGTCCACCTAAAACTAAACAATAAATATTAAAAAAACCTAGTTGACATGTATATAGCCCAGATTATGTGCTCCTAAGTGATTTCTACAAACTTATTTCATTACTCATAGCAATGCTATAAGCTGAGTAATAAAGTTATTCCCTTTGACCCAGAAAGTTCAAAAAGCTCACCCACATTCACACAGGTAATCAGTACAAACACTTCAGTGGAAACAAGTAAGTAAGTGGCATTGTTTAGACATGCTAATCAATGTTTTCTTTATGGAAAACATTCCTTTAGATTATCATGATGAATTATTAGTGAATACAACCTGAGAACAGGATAGTGAGTAAGTGATCTGCCCTAACTCAAGTGCCTGTACATTCATTCAGTCCTTGGTTATTTTGTATGTTTATTTGCTCTGTGAATTATATAAAGCAGCTTTTCATCTTTGGCCAGTGTTAGTGGATTTTACCTTCATTTTGCAGTGTCATGTTCAGGGAATCAAAATTCATTTTTTGATCTGCCCAGGAAAACCAACTAAGGGAGATTTAAAGAAACCACCTAAGGAGGTTATGCAAAATTGGAGGAGCATGGGAGGATAAGCAATAAGAGAAAGGGCAATTGTCTTGGAGCCAGATCCAGATTCTAGCCCATCTTAATATTTTACATGATGTAGTTAACCTTTCTTATCTTCAGTTTCCTCATTTGTGAAATGGCAACAAAGATTGAAATCTTGCTGGGTTGTTATGCTGTTTGAAATAATTTAGCACACAAATGCAATGTAACTGAGGTGTTTGAAGTCACACTGCTAGTAAGAAGCAGAGCCAGGGCTGGGGATATAGCTCAGTTTGTAGAGTGCTTGCCTCACATGCATAAGGCCCTGGGTTCAAACCCCAGTACCACTAAAATATATATATATATATATATATATATATATATAAAGCCTATACTTCCTTCATTATTTCACACTGCCATCCTGGAATATGGCCTTTAGGAGCATAACCACAACTTTATCCCTTGTGTCCAAGTCAAACTTCCAACACCAACGAATTTTGTGTGTGTGTGTGTGTGTGTGTATTATTCCCTGACACTTAAGTTATTTTCCTCAAAATTGAGAGATGGAAGCATCACACTTTCCTCTTGTTTTGACCATTCAGGGCAAAGAGCTCCACTTTAGAAGAGTCAGTCTGCATTGTCCTGAAATTTTCTTATGGTTTTGGTTTTCACCCTCTTATACTAGCAGAATCTGATTTAAAATTGAAAAGGGAGGGGCAATGGGCTGGGGATGTGGCTCAAGCGGCAGCGCACTGGCCTGGCATGCGTGCGACCCAGCTTTGATCCTCAGCACCACATACCAACAAAGATGTTGTGTCCGCCGAGAACTAAAAAATAAATATTGAAAATTCTCTCTCTCTCCTCTCTCACTCTCTCACTCTCTCTTAAAAAAAATAAAAAAATAAAAAATGGCTAATTAAATAAAAATAAAGCATATCTTCATTATAAAAAAAAGAAAAGGGAGGGGCAAATAATATGTGCATTTATATAAAATTCTGAACTGAATCTATTTAAAGTAGGTTTAAGAGAGGCCAGGGCTCCACCTTCTATTCTCATATAAGCCTCAAACAGAAAAAAAATTCATGTCATAGGTTGTACCTGAATCCATATTATGGCTGTTTTTATTCTTCATTCTCTTTTTCTCTCTCCAAAATTATAAGTTATCCCACAAACTGCTCTATTGCTTTCTGATTCCCCCTAGCACTGGATGTGCATCCTTGGCAATTAATTTAACTGCATTAAGCCTGTTTTTTTTTTTTAATCTGTAAGGATTGTTTTGAGGATCAATGAGATAATCCATTTTGCATGGTGCATGGCATATAGTGAGCACTTCCTAAATACTGAACAATATTAGCAGTAGTCTTCCCTAACCATTTCACTATGCGATCAACTTGAATCTTGTTTCTTTGCTTATTCCTCTAGGAAGGCCTACTATCTGCCAATGTATACAATGGTTATATGATAGGGCTCTCAGTAACTTAATTGATCTAGTGCATATTCGCTTACTTTGATTTCAAGTTCTCAAAGAACTATCTCAGTAAATAAATCTTCAAAGTTGAGACTGGGGTCATGGCTCAGTGGTAGAGCACTTACCTGGCATGTGTGAGTCGTTGGGTTCAATTCTCAATACCATATATAAATAAAATAAAGGTCCATCAACAATACACACACACACACATATTTAAAAATCTTAAAAGTCTAAGGTCAAATCATGTCTGTTAATCAGCTTTCAACAACAATTTTGGGTCCTATAGCATTGAGAGCCTCTTCCCATACATCTTTTGCACAAATTCATTGAATAAATGATTGTTTTATTGTTTCATTTACTTATATTGTATCCTTAAGGCATTCAGTTTTCAACCAACTTTTGACTATCTACAGTATGTCAGAAATTGTGATCCTTGATTAGATTATAAAGCTTCAGATAAGCGGGTCTCTTATTCCTTTGAGTTTCCTGAAAGCCCAGCATAATTCTGGGCTCACTGGAGAATACCTCATAGTTCCACACAACCTCTTATGTCCTTGAAATGTGAATTAAAAAAAAAAAAAACCTTTGGGGGGAGAGTGAATTATCCATTTGTAGTTGAGCTGGCTACTGAGTGACGTCTATTATGAATCGCTTTGCAAAGTGAAGAATCCTTTTGTAAGGCGAAGCGTTCCACCTTCTTCTTGTATGTTCGCATTCATCATTTTGTAGATTAAGTTGGCTCACAATCTTGCTCACCCTTGCTATCCGTCGTCGGAACCCAATCTTGAGCTAAAGCCGCCTTCCGCAAGGAGGCGCCCGACAGTCCATTGACATTCAGCCCACAGTGCACTGCGCAGCCTCTGTCCAGGAGGGGGCGAGAATCCCCGCGCTGACGCGCCTGACGTCACCGGAGGGCGCGGTCCGTGGAGGGGCGAGGCTTTCCCCGCAGTGAGGGGCGGGGCCACCCGGGCGCCGCTGACTGGGCTAAAGTGGGTTTCGAGTGTGAGGCGTCGGCGTAGCTCTGCGGCATTGGGAAGATGGCGCCACTGGTGACCGAGAGGGGGCTAAAGAGCGTCGTGTGGCAGAGTGAGTGGGATCGGGTAGGGGCTGAGAGAAAGGGAAGGCCAGGACSCCGTCGCGCCGGGCCTTTTTTTCCTGCCTTCGCCCAGCAGCCTAGTTTGGAGCCCCCACGGGCACTTGTTGCTTCGGACCCGCGTCCGGCTTCGGACTTCTTCCTGCTTTCATGCCCAGCCCGGTTTCTGGTTTGCACCCGGAATGGGCAGGTTTGCGATACTGCGCGGCCTTCGCGCTGGTCTTAGGCACCCACTTACCTTGGCGGGGTCTTGCCTCCAAGCCCCGCTCTGCTAAAGCAGCCCCGGGGCCGCTTCACTCCCGCGGCCGCCGGCGTACTCGGCCGCGCTCCCCTCCGCCTGCGCCGGGGCCCTACCAGTCGGGGATGTCTCTCCACTGGGGACAATCTGGGCTCTGTTTTTCTATCCCGTCCCCTCTTCCYCGCACTTGAGTTTCCAGAAAATGCTTATTCTCCTTATTTGTGTTAGTATCAAGGAGGATTTTTATTGCTGTACTTTCCTTTAAAAACAAAAACAAAACAAAAACAAAAATTCACTGTTAAACAGATCCTTCTTCCACGATTCCTAGAGGAGCCTACTTGATAAGCTTTTGAGAAGGGACCTTTTAATTGGAATAATTAAATCTCTACCCGTGACAGCGGCTTGCGTACCTGGGCAAAGATGCACCTTCGCCTTTCCCTTTACACTCTGGGGCGACTCTCTGTTGTTAGAACTTTGTTGCTTGTTGGTTATTGATGTTCTGCCCTATCATCCTTGGCTTTCATAAAAATTACTCCAAACCTAGGCCAGGCATGTTAGGGAAGGAATGAACCCACCAAACAGGAAGAACCATCATTGTTTGGCATCTTTGGGTTCAAAGTAATTATGGTCTAGTAGTGGAAAGGGAGTAACTTCTGATTAGTAGTAGTTCTTACTCCAACTTGTTGAACAAAGAACAGAAATTGCTTGGCAAAAATCTGGGAGTTTTCAGTTCTTGTATAAAATGAAAAATCCAAATCAGTAACTGGGCTAGTATTTCATATATAGCAGACGCTATGAGTGTGTAAAGAAGAAGTAAGAAATTATAGTTTTAAAAAAATTAGTTAATTTTAAGGTTGTCATTTTGTTTTTCAGGTTTAACATGCTTAACATGGTAAGGATTTGGAAATGGTTAAAAACAATGGCATTTAAATACATTTGTATAAAAATGGGTAGTAAAGTGTGTTGTATAAAAATTTCCAAGATGTACATTTTGCTTTACATTAGCATTTATGAGAAAAGATTAGTGATGGTAATGCCAATCTTAATAGCATGAAACTAGGTAGGAGKGAGAGTGTAGGGATAACAAAATTTCTAATTTGTGCTGTTAACTTAAGGTTAACACCAGACTTTCCAGATGGAGTGTAAGATAAAGACAGACAAAATGAAAGGAAAAAGATGTAGGGTTGTAAAGTAGTTCTTTGAAACTTTTTGTAAATAGAAACATAACAAAAGACAATAGTCATTCAACATTTATCGAGTAAAGTATATATATTGAGAAGAGGGAGCCTCTGAGTTCTGTTAGCAAAAGATGCAACTTGTTGGGTGTGGTGGTGCATGCCTATAATCCCAGTGGCTGGGGAGGTTGAGGCAGAATGGGAAGTTTGAGGCTAGTCAACAATTTAGCAGCACTCTGTCTCAAAAATAAAGAAGGGGTGTGGCTCAGTGGTAGAATACCCTGAGTTAATTCTCCAGTACCACGCCCTGCCTCGTCCCCCCCCCCACCCCCCCATCCGGGTGTGGTGAACCATATGGAGGCTGAGTCAGGAGAGTGATAAGTTCAAAGTCAGTCTGAGTGACTTAGAGATCCATGGCCCAAAATAAAAATTTTAGAAAAGGGAGGATTATAGCTCAGTGGTAGAGTACTTGCCTAGCATGTGCTAGGTYCTATGTTCAATCCACAGTACTGCAGAAAGGAAAAAAAAAAAAAAGAATCTGAGAGAAATGTTGAATGAATTTTTGAAGAGATAAGAGAATCAGGGGTTGCAGTAGTGGCTCAGTGGTAGAGCGCTTGCCAGGCATGTGTGAGACCCTGGGTTCAGTCCTTGACACTTCATATAAAATAAATAAATAAAAGATCCATTGACAACTAAAAAATTTTTAAAAAGAGATAAGAGAATCAGAATCATATTTTTAGAGAAAATGTTTTATTAGGTTGATGATATAATAGGTGCGGGTAGAAAACTAAATAACCTTTAGTTTGACTAGACAGTGGTAGGTAAAGAGAATGGAACCACTACTTCTTTTTTCCCTTCTTTTTTTTTTTTTTTTGTTGGTTTTGAGGATTGGACCCAGAACCTCATGCATGCTAAGCAAACACTGTACTGTTCAAATGTCCAGGCACTGATAGATGGATAAATAAAGGCAGTAAGAAAAAATGAAATACTGATATATTTTACAATAGCACAAAATATTGAAAATGTTATTATGCTAAGAAGCCAGTCACAAAGGGCCACATTCACACTGTATGACTCCATATATATGAAATGCCCAGGACAAGCAAATCTATGGAGACAGAAAGTAGATTAAATGAATGCCTATTTGGAGGGTGGGTTTTCTTTTTGGAATAATGAAGATGTTCTCACAGTTGTGGTAATGCAGTGATAGATGCATGACTTTGTGAATATGCTGAAAACCATCGAATCACACATTTTTTAGTGGATGAATTGTATGGTATACAAATTATATCTCAGTTATGCTGTTAAAATAAATCTTGATATGGGGCGTGGTACTGTATGCCTGTAATCCCAGTGATTTGGGAGGCTGAGGCAGGAGGATTGCAAGTTGGTCAACTTAAGCAATTTAGTGAGACCTTTAGACCTATCTCAACATAAAAGAAATATAATGTCTGGGGATGTAGCTTAGTGGTAAAGCACCACTGGGTTCAATCCCCAGTACCAAAAAAATAAATAAATAAAAATTAAAAATAAATGCTGATAACAGCTGTGAAATCTAGACCTAGGATTTACGCTTAGTTGTTTTTTTTTTTCACCCTGCAGAGTTAATGTTTGAGCTGTCCGTGGTTTTCCGTGTTTAAACCTTTAAAAAGGTCTTACTTTTTGCCCAGTCTATTGCAGGAGGCTCCTAACCAATCTCGTAACTAATCCTCTAAACTCTTACTTTTTCTCATTCTAGTCCATCCAGCAAGTAGCTTCCATATTAATTTTCCTGTAATAGTAAAATTAGTTGCTCTGTGCTTGTGTGTTTAGAGACCTGTTTAGAGACCTCCAGTTACCTAAAGTTCATTTCAGAGTCTACCTTTGAAGATCTGGCCCCAGCCTACCTGGTTATTCTTGTTTTCTTTYACCTGTATACTTTTATTTTTCCGTCTAGTCTGTATTATTTACTCTTCTTGAAAAAAAATATTTTGGGGGGTACTAGGGATTGAACCCAGGGGCATTTTACCGCTGAGCTACATTCCCAGACCTTTTTTGTTTTTTGAGGCAGGGTCTTGCTAAGTGCTTACTAATTTTTGAAGCTGGCCTTCAACTTGTGACCCTCCTGCCTCAGTATCCCAGGTTACTGGGACTATAGGCATGCGCCATTGCATCTGGCTTATCTTGAAATCTTTTACTGCCATATCTTATTTTTAAAATTAATTTAAAGAGTTAGTTTTTCTGTTTATTTATTTACTTTTGGTACTGGGGATTGAACCCAAGGGTGTTCTACCACTGAATAGGTCCCCCAGCTCTTTTTATTTTTATTTTGAGACAGTGTCTTGCCAAGTTCCTGAAGCTTGAATTTGGAATCCTTTTACCTTAGCATCCCAAGTAACTAGGATGCCATCACACCCAACTTCCCTTATTTTTATCCAAAATTTAGCCAGCCTTCAAGTTTCAGTTCAAATGAGCTACCACCTTCTTAGTGGCTTCTAACTTTTACCTGCCCTTTTAAGTTTCTGTAGCATTTAGTTTACCCTTCTTGAATGTCACATCTCACAACTGCCTTGATAGTCTTTTGTTAAGCTTCTTGAAGGTAGGTCCACTGTTGTGTTTTATAGGACTTTAAATTCCTAACAGGGCTGGGGTTGTGGCTCAGTGGTAGAGCACTTGCCTAGCATGTGTGAGGCACTGGGTTGAATTCTTAGCACCACATATAAATAAATAAAATCAATGGTCCATTAATGACTAAAAAAAAGATTAAAAAAAAATCCTAACAGGGGCTGGGGATGTGGCTCAAGTGGTAGCGCGCTTGCCTGGCATGCGTGCGGCCCGGGTTCGATCCTCAGCACCACATACCAACAAAGATGTTGTGTCCGCCGAGAACTAAAAAATAAATATTAAAAATTCTCTCTCTCTCTCTCTCCTCTCTCACTCTCTTTAAAAAAAAAAAAAAATTAAAAAAAAATCCTAACAGACCCTAGCAGAATGTGATGGGTAACAATGCTTTTTAAAAATGAATGACTCTGCTGGGCATGGTGTCACACACCTGTAATCCCAGCAACTCAAGAAGCCGAGGCAGGAGGATTGCACGTTTGAGGCCAGCTTTAGCAGTTTAGCGAGATTCCCATCTCAAAATTTAATAAAAGACCTGGGGATGTGATTCAGTGGTTAAATACTCTCTGTTCAATCCCTAGTAACGATAGATAGATAGATAGATAGATAGATAGATAGATAGATAGACAGACAGACAGATAGAGACTGATAGATTGATCTAGCTGGGCAGGTGGACTGCTATGGCTTTCTTTCTTTTAAACAACATTGACTCAACATTTTGCATGTCCTTCTTAATCTTTGTAATTAACTATTTTGTGTGTGTAAGTCGAATGTGAGCATCCATTTGTAATTAACATTTTAAACTATTTAAAATCTTGAGGCAGCAAAAAATTTTAAGAGCAAGAGTATAAAATAAAATTAATCTTCCTCCCAACCCAGATTTCCAGCTTTTCTCTCCAAAACAACCAGCTTTTAGGTTTCTTATAAATCTTAAAGTTTTCTGAAAATAAAGTCCACACAGAGAATTGTATTATTTTGTTGT